GGAAAAGAATCAGCTGGGAAAAAATATCTATGCAACTCTCCCTTCTTTTTTTTTCTTTCCCTTGGCTAATCTTATTTCATTCCTTCCTCCCAAGCCACTATCCCATTCCTGTGTTTCTTTCTTGGGCACTGGGAATTAGACCAGGAAATCAGCCTTCCTCCATGGAGATTTGCTTTTGACCAGCAACCTAAAATAATAGAATGTCAGAGGATCTAGGTAACACCTCTAGAAATATTATGTTGCTGGCTCTCTCCTTGATTTAATGGGAAGAAACAACTGAAATACCTAAAATTTTTAAACGGTTTGGTAAATAAGTTTAGGAAAACTAAATCATAAATACAGCCATGCAGGTTTATGATAAATATTGTAACTGCATATTTCACACTTTCATTTTAATCCATCACAATTTTTACTGCCCGTGTAATTGAAATTTCGAATGGGATTTATACACAGAGAGCAACACTCAACAGAAATGAAACAGATCCCTAAATCAAATTCCTTTAGGAGCATATGTTATATAAAGGTTATCACTTTTGACTTGGCATAATACGGTGATGCTAATGACAGGTAACAAATTAGAATATTAATTGATTTCTGTCTCTGCACTAAATCTTGGCTCTCTGGCAGATGTGTTTTTTGCAAAATTGATAGCAAACAGCTTTAGTCTGTCACTTGAAATTCCCACTTGTGAAAAGAGAGGTGTCACAATGGCAAGGAGTGTGCATGTCATTCGTTGGGTAATCTGCAGAGTCCAGCACGGAGCATATTCAAACCAAATTGCCTGATGATATCATCCACAACACCATGGGGGCTTCAAATAAAAAAAGGAAAAGGAAGTGGTAAATGCTGAGCATTTTTATCTTTCAATTCATTCTGCACACTCTTATCTAAATGAAGCAGACAAGGTTTTTCAGAATGTTTCTTTATTTTGCAACTCTGATTTTAATATGACTAGGGCCATGGTTGGTTTGTAAAGCATGAACTTGTGTCATCCAAATAGCTGTGATTAAGGTTTTGATATTCATGAGCTTCTTGAAGTAAAGTGCAACTTTCCTGAAGCAAAGCAGAAAACCAAATAGCCAGAACTTGACTCTGAGTCTCGAATAAGAGCAAGTGGGCTAAGGGTAGTTATGTAATTTGTGCAGAAATACTATTGGATAGACAGTTTAAACAGGGATTAAAAACACAAGCTTTGGTTACAGACTGCATGGGTTCAAATCTTAGCTCTGCCACATCCTAGCTCTGTGACCTTGGGAATTATTTCATCTTTCTGTGCTTCAGTTTCTGCTGGTATAAAATGGGGGTTAAAAATAATATCTCCATCATCGGGTAGTTGGGTAAAGGCATCAATGCATAGGAAGTGCTTAGAGTGTCTGGCACAGAGTAAGCATCCTATAAGTGTTAGCTATTATTAGAGTCTAGTTGTCATTTTTAACAAGTGTATTTCTCTTTCAGAAAAGCCCTCTATTCAGCTTAGACACCCAAACTGAGAAAATTCCAGAAACTTTCCAGCCAAATATTCAAGCATTGCCTTCTTTAAGCACATTCCAAGGATGCCTGTTCTAGGAAAGACAGATTCCTTCTTAGTGTTTCCTCTTCCCATCACCTCTAATTTTCTTTTTTTCCTTTGTAATTTCACTTTCTTACTCCCTCATTCCTTTTAGCCTACAGGTATGCTCAAAAAAGTCCACATATTTGCAAGTGCCTAGTGAAATTCTATGCATCGTAGGTGATTCAGAAATGTCAGTTTCCTTCTTTCATGCTCTAAGATTTTCTTCTTCCTTTACCTCCTCCATCACCCACCATTCTCACTTCCTCCTTCATATCTACAGCAAACTGATTGGAAACCATAACCTAGATCCTGACATCTATTTCTTCAACTTCCATTAACAGCTCAGCTTCTGCTCTGATCTGCATTGTCAAGTACTGTTAAAAGGGTCACCAGGTACTTCCTTTTGCACAATTATGAGGGCGATTGTCAACCTTCATTTGGTCAGATATTTCTGTGTCATCATTATGACCAGCAGTCATCATCTGAAAAATCTTGATTTCCAGGAGTCTACTCTCATTTCCTCCTCTTGCTTCCTTCCCTCCTTATTCTCTTTCATTGACTGGTCCTCCCTTTTCATTACCTTTCCTTCCCTGAAGTGGTAGATGTCATGGTTTCCAGGGTTCCATTTTTAATCCTGTCGCAGTCTTATTCTCCATGCTTTCCCTGGGCCATCTCATTCCCCTGGCTATTCAGATAAGAAATCTC